AACAGCCGTAAAATTCATTAAAAATTATGATCTTACAAATACACACTATTTTTGCTACTCGTCCTTTATTTAGTAGCCTATTAATACGCTGTGTTTTGACATTATACTACGAAATCTTATTATCCATGGTAGCTACATATATGTACATATCAGTTCGGTTTCCTAAGATTTATGGTTGAAAGTGGCCATGCACAACATACATGTGGGTTCGATCGACAGGTGCGCACGTGAGATTTTCTCGTGCATGGGTTTGTATACATAAGACTCCATGTTGGTAAAAATTTTCGATTTTTTAAAATCCCATACACGACATACTGGTGTGCTCACAATTGCTCATTTGGAAAAGAAAAAGTAAAAAAATAAAGAAAAATTTAATAAAAAAAAATAAATGTTGGCATAATTCTAAATACAGTAAAATACAATACATAAAAATGCCATTACAAAAAATGTATACGAGAATTATAGGGTCGGCTTTAGTATACCGTTCCACGCATTAAAATTGGTTTGGGTGAATAGAGGAGATAATCCAGATTAAGAATATATATAGATACAGCCGCGGGAAACTTATAGTTTTCGAGATATTTACGTTTAACACTTATATTTTTTGAAGCGCAGCCGAAGGCCGCCAACTCAAAAAGAAGTTCTACACAAAAAGACCTTGGTACACCCTGGTGTTGGAACAACCAGGGTTATTTTTTTTTTTTGAAGCGGGACCGAAGGCTGCCCACGCCAAAAGAAGTTCTACAAGAAAAAGTAACATTGTCATAATCATTAACATCAATACTTTATTTATATATAATATATTTTTCTAGGTTTTGAGTTCCTGTATTTGGTTTATTATCGTTTTCATTTCTTTCAGTTCATTTACAAAAGATGTCGATAAGGTAACACATTAATTTAACAATAATTTAAATATTGAATTAAACTATTTTTGCACTATATAATGTAAAATAAATGTATACAAACGAGTTAGTGAAGTGTTAGTGGATATAAAAGTGGAAAATATAAGTGTATAATTCATTTTAAATCGAAAAAGTGCTAACTTTAAATGGGTGAAATTTCCAACTTTAAACGTAAATATCTCGAAAACTATAAGTTTCCCGCGGCTATTCTTGATCTGGAGGATCTCCTCTATCCGCCCATACCCATTTTATCCCCGAAAGCCTCGGACGGTATACCAAAGTTTTCTCGATATAAAAAAAAGTACAATTCAATTATCCGATGAAAGTGAAATGGATTTGCATGCAGGCATACTAATAACCAAATAATCATACAGTAGGCAATAATTTCACTCACCACCACCATCTAAATACTGCATGTTTCCGCAATATAATAAACCAAACGACTTAATATTAGTCAGGGGTATTTCCTTCTCTCTCTTCGGATTGAGTGTAGGCCCTTTTCATCTCACTAACCGCGTAGTAATCTCTGTCAGCAAAAAAATTCCGGTTAACAGTAGTCTTAATGTATATTAGATCTCAGAAAAAGAAAGAGGGTGTTTTCAACGCTTAAGCATCTCTTTCATAATGGTCTCTTGCAGAAAGGAAAATATTGTTTGATATAACTGGAGACTTCAACAATTTTTGCCTAACATACTTTCACCAATTTAAAGGTAGGTAGGTAGGTGAGAGTGTCGCCCCTAGGGGCTCAATTAGCGCCAAACTCCGCCATTTAGATACACTATTCGTAAGACATTTAAATATTGCTATCTCATTTTATTGTTGTTTTCAAATCTTTTGGTGCCCTAAATGAAACCACTTAACTCCGTTATGCTTTTTGTAGGTTGACATTCTAGGTTTGGTACCTGATGGGTTTCAAGAGTTCTACATCGGGATTGCGATAGATCTAAGCTAGAAGAAGTGTAGAACCATTTCCTTACTACCCCTCGAGTTTGCAGGTGCGGCAAATATTGTTATGAGGCATTCCCAACTTTAACGCCTGTTCTTCAAATGGCCATGTCCCGTTATGGTGGCTGTAAGTCTATATATGCTATTTCTGGACCTATTTAATAAGTCCTTACTTCTTGTCTTGCCATACCTTATTTTGGCCTATTTGTTCAAATTGCGTATTTAGTTCCCTCTTGATCGTTCCTAACGGGTACGGTATTGTCTCCGCCTCAGACTCGTCTAGCGTGGCTCCTGACTTGGGCAACTCGTCTGCTTTTTCGTTGCCGAAAATGTTCCTATAGCCGGAAACCCAAGGTATGGACAGATGGAGTATCTGTCTTTGGCGACGACAAGGCTAACAGTGCTGCCTGGTTATCTGGAGTATACTCCCGTCCCTATTCCGCATTCCATTTTGGACCTGTCGGTATAGATTGAGGTAGTATTTTTCACCCCTACTCATTTCCATTCACGTCTAGAGGATATTCTCACCTGGAAATCACTATTGAAATCCAACCCTGGCTGGATATATAGTCTGATCTTTTTAGATTTGTTTCGAGGTGGTTCAATATATCGCTATGTCCATAACTTTTCATATTCCAGGTTACTGTGTCCTTAATCATAGCAGTCCTTTTCATAGCAGAGAATGTTGCTACTTTTTGTAGGAAAACATCTATGGGTAGTTGACGTAAAATCATATTAAGCGCACCAGTCGGACATGACTTAATGGCTCCAGTAATCCCTACACAAGCTGCCTTCTGTTTTCCATATAATTTTCTGATATTAAATTCTCGCTTTAATGCTGGCCAGTGCTCCATATCTAAGGGTTAGTCTAATGATAACCGGGGGTTGGAAGATGAAATTGAGGTATTTTTGTTTTATTAGTGAATAGGATCAGAACCATCAACCTCCGTAAGGCTCTTTCCATTATCTCACAGATTGTAGATGGAAACAGTCCTGATACCATTAACACTATATCGCCTGCATATGTTACTGCTTTTACTTCTTCTCCGTTGAATTGGATTAGTATTTTGTTAAGGACACCTCCCGGCGAAGTCCCTCTGCTTACATAGCTAGCTAGGTCGTGTCCCTGAGCCGTTCTGTTCTTGAACATGGATTGTACCCATTTGCACACCATGTCGCTTATGCCGCCATGTAGCAGAAACTCAATGATCGCGCTTAGATCTATATAAAAGCTCCCTCTATATCTATCATTAGGGCAGTTTCTGTTGAACGACCCTTTATGTATGCATGTTGTGCAGTATATAAGTTGTCCGCTACTATTGATCTGATGTGTATGTGTGTCCATTAGCCTTTCTAAAACCTTTAGCATTAAGGAGGTGAGGCTTATGAATCTAAAATCTTTAGTGTTTTCGTGTATTCTTCTGCTCGGTTTTAGTAGGAACAACACCTTGACTCTTTTCCAGCTTCTCGGGATATAAGAAATAAGCATTAAGGACATCCGGACCTGCCGCTTTTTATGGTAAGAAGTAGTCATTGTGCGGGAGATTTTTTCTTTGCTTACAATGAGACCGGATTGGTCTGCTGTATTTGAGGCTTGTTCCGGTTGAACACCCATTTCCATGGATTGAGTAAACTTATCCCATGCTGTTCTTTTATGGTTTCGATATTTGAGAGAAGTATAGAATTTCTCGCGAATGCTGAAAAGTATCGAGGAGTGATCCCACATTCCTCGAAGACTCTCCAGTCATCTACGACAATGTCATGTAGGCCGAAAGCAGAAAGAAACTACATTCTTTTTGTTCCACCCTTACCACTGCGGTATTTTCTGTGCTGTAATTTGAACAAAGAAATGCATTTATACCTTTATTGATAAGAATGCATGCCCTTGATCTACCTTCATTCCGTTTGTAAAAATGTGGTAGTTGGTGCCGTTCAGCACTTTGACTGCGTCATCTCTGACCCAGGACTCCTATATTAGGCTAATGTCACTGCCTCTCTTATTTATGAGGATAGTCAGACTGTCTGTAACATTTTTTGGGTGCTACAGATTTATCTGCACCCATCTTAATTTCATGACAACATCGCTCAGCAATTGATACCGGATACCGAAGCCGATCTTGTCATCAGCTTTCGATAGAGCCTCTATGGATTCCTGGCAAATTGTCAGGAACGAAGCTTAAAACTAGTCTTGACAATTTAACGTCTATTTCCACCCATCTCTCCTGAATGGTGTTAGGTGTGGTAGAGTTTCCGTCTTTTATAGACACTTCCAGGCAGTCCCTGGACACATCGCAAAAGTGTCTAGCTGTTGTTGTGCTGCTTGTATCTACTCCCCCGTGCTTAAGTTTTTTGAGCAGAGTTTCCAACGATTCGTTGTGAGAGCGATTTCTTTTCTGTGTGTTTCCAATTGCTTCTTTTTCAGGAAACTCTCATACTCCTCCACCAACTGTATCTGGCGCTTTATCTCCTTTTCATCAAATTAGGCACCAGCCGTCTGATCCTTGGCTGTCTTTCCGAGCACAAAGAATGCCCACGGTACCGGCTCTTCCTCAGTTGATTTTGAGATTTCTTACCGTTTTGCTTTGGCTGCCAGTGTACTCTGGTTGGAACTCTTGGCTGCCTTGTAAGTTGATGGTCCCATATCTGGGTTTAGGGTACTTTGGTTTGTACCCTCTTTTTTTGGTTGCTGTCACTACTGGTGTACTTTGGTTGGTACGCTTGCTAGTGCTCTTTATCGTATCCTGAATGGAGGCGAGGAGGTTGTGAGGTAAGTGAGATAATAAAATTTGTACATTAATAATAAGCACATATGCTAACAGTAATTATGAAATCCACACATTCATATTTACTTATTATTATGTTGTAATAATTCATGTTTTAAGTCTCACTTTAACGTGTTGGAAATAATACAACAAAACGTAAAAACATCAGGTATCAGCTGATGAAACTATATGTTGCTGCAATTTTTGGTCAAACTTCCCAAATTACAGTTCTTGCCAGCAATGGTTGCATGATATTAAATTAGGCAACTGTGGCCAACAAAAAATTATATGCTGTCTATGCTGGCAATACGAAGAACAATAAAGTTATGCCAACAAAATTTATTGCCTGCCGAGATACCCTGTAAGTACAATGTTTACTTAAACTTGTGAGAATATTCAGTAAAAGTGGAACGTGTAGCTGAATGAGGGATAGCTTCTGAGCAGGGTTCTTCAGAGGTGTTAATTGTTTGGAAATTTATATGACTCGTATTCTTTTGAAATTTTGAGTTTCTGTAAACTTAATAATAAGCCACCGAGGAGTAAAATTATCCAGAAAATAAAGTATAATGCTTATTTATACATTTTTAGTCTAATACTATTTCGGTTATTATGGTCGTATGGCTGAATATATCTGTGCTTTGTGCAACGCGCATCGTTATAGTACATGGAACTGAATGTTTCGGACTGTTTATGCTAAAGTGCTAAGGATTAGAAGGGATTCATATTTATAAAGGTTGGAAAACAATAGATGGAACTCGGAAAGAAAAGGTAACATATGAAATAATTATTTTATGTTTATAATGAATACAAAAAAATTAGCCTAAAGGTAAGATGAGCACATACGAATATACTTCTCTATGTAAATATATATATATTTAGTAAAGGAATATACATTATTTTTGAACAAGAAATCTCGAAAGTAAATATGTATTAATATGTTAGCTACTTGTTTTATTTTATATAAAGTATTTGAGTAATTATGGAGAACTGTGTTGAAAGCAAATTAAAAGATATATAATTTATGTAGAAGAACAAAACGTTACAAAAGTGATTTCAATTCCGCAAAAACTCCGTTATAAATTAATAACCCTTCAATTTAACACTTTCGTTATTAACGGGTTTTTCTTATCAATGATTTAGCAAAATGCACCTATATATACAGTGTAAATGCATTTTTTTAAAGATATTCTCGGGCTAGATTAAAAAAAAAAAAATTTATCTTAAAACATAAGCCCAACTCCGGAATTGGGAAAACTTTAGTATAACGTCCCACGCTTTCGGGAATAAAATGGGTATGGGCGGATAGAGGAGATCCTCCAGATCAAGAATATATATAGATATAGCCGCGGGAAACTTATAGTTTTCGAGATATTTGGGTTTAAAGTTCAAAATTTCGACTATTTAAAGTACGCATTTTTCCCATTTCGAATGAGTTATACACTTATATTTTCCACTTTTATATCCACTAACACTTCACTAATTCGTTTGTACACATTTATTTTACATTATATAGTGCAAAAATAGTTTAATTCAATAATTAAATTATTGTTAAATTCTATTAATTCTGACAATAACAAAAGGGTTGCAAAATTTCAAATAACCAGTGTTACCTTATCGACATCTTTTGTAATTGAACTGAAAGAAATTAAACAGATAATACCCCAAATACAGGTATCCAAAACCTAGAGAAATAAACTATTACAAAGCATTGATGTTAAATATTATGTTATACCCTCTATGACAATATTACTTTTTTCTTGTAGAACTTCTTTTTGCGTTTTCGGCCCCTCTTCAAAAAAATAACCCTGGTCGGTCCAACACCGGGGTGTATCAAGGTTTTTTTGCGCAGAACTTTTTGCGTTGGCGGCCTTTGGCCGCGCTTCAAAAAAATAACCCTGGTCGATCCAACACCGGGGTGTATCAAGGTTTTTTTGCGCAGAACTCCTTTTTGCGTTGGCGGCCTTTGGCCGCGCTTCAAAAAAATAACCCTGGTCGGTCCAACACCGGGGTGTATCAAGGTTTTTTTGCGCAGTACTCCTTTTCGCGTTGGGGGCCTTCGGCCGCGCTTCAAAAAAAAATAACTCTGGTCGATCCAACACCGGAGTGTACCAAAGTTTTTACGCGCAGAAATTCTTTTTGCGTTGTTTCCTGTATCTAGGATACAATCTCTGTTAATTTTATTTTTCTTCGTTTGCAAAATATATTAGTATGGCAACACTGATGTTTTGACATTCACAACCATTTTGTTATTGTCAAAATTAATAAAATTAAAGAATGATTTAAATATTGAAATAAAGCTATTTTTGCAGCATCTAATATAAAAAAAATTTCTAAAAACGAATTAGTCAAGTGTTAGTGGATATAAAAGTGAAAAATATAAGTGTATAATTCATTTTAACTCGCAAAAATACGTACTTTAAATAGTTGAAATTTTCAACTTTAAACGTAAATATCTCGAAAACTATAAGTTTCCCGCGGCTATATCTATATATATTCTTGATCTGGAGGATCTCCTCTATCCGCCCATACCCGTTTTATCCCCGAAAGCGTGGGACGTTATTCTAAAGCCGACCCCCGGAATTTACCAAAATAAAGGAAATTCTGAAGTTTTGTGCTACTAAAAACTCGGGATGCAAATAATACTGTCAAGAGAATAATTTAATTAACATTTAACTTCAATTTTCCGTATCTAAACGAATGAAAGCAATCAACATAAAAAAAATACGCAATGACCCTCTGCAAAATTAAATTAAATGCACAATATTTACTAATTCAACGACAAAACAAACAAAAAAAGAAACAGTACCTTGTTTAGTTGTAACAATATCCGTTATAGAAAATGAAGTTTAAAGAGAGATAAACCCTCGTTAACTTACATTTTTTTTTGGTTAGATTTCCTATTTGCATTAGCGACTCTCGGCCGGGCTTCAAAAAAACAAACCCTGGGTGGTCGTTATTCCTTTCGCATTCAACTTCTTTCTGCATTGGCAGTTGTTGTTGTTGTTGTAACGGTTACCTAGTCCCCGTTTGGGTGATAAATTCCAGATTCGTTGTCGTCGAGGTCATCTAACGGGAGGCCCAGGAAACGAGCTGTTTCGACGGGGTCGGACCATAGGGAGAAGGGTGTTAGATGGGTGGGGTTTGTTGGGCATGCAAAGAGATGGTTAGTGTCATGCGGAGACTCATTGCACGCAGGACATGTGTTTAGTATGTCGGGGTCTATTCTGGATAAGTAGGAGTTTAACCTGCTACAGTATCCGGAACGAAGTTGCGCGAGGGTCACTCTGGTTTCGCGAGGCCACTCGAGCTCTATGTCTGCTATCGGTGGTGGTTTGACTCCTATTACGCCATTCACTGTGAGGGAGTCTGTGAAGGTGTTTATGGCTCCACTGTGAATGGCGGTCAGTGCCTGTCTGGAGTTCGTTGCGTCCGAAGTCCGGTCGGCGTACTGTCTAATGTCGTCGACGTAGTCAAGGAAAGACTTCTTGATGTTCCTAGGAGGCGGCTCCGCTACAGTCAGGCGACTACAGGAGTGGTTTCTACGAAAACACCCCAGTAGAAACTGCTTGGAAAGGAGTTCGTTGTGTTCCTTAACCGGAAGCATACGGGCCTCACTATGTAGGTGTTCGATTGGAGACATCAAGAGGCATCCCGTGATAGTTCGGAGTGCAGTGTTCTGACAGGTCTGACGCTTCTTCTTCTGTGTGTCACTGCATCCAGGCGCCCATATTGGGGCTGCGTAATTTAGGCCGGCCGATTGCCTTGTGTGTTGCCAACAACGTTTCTTTGTCTTTTCCCCAAGAGCTGTCGGCAAGCGACTTGAGGATTTTGTTGCGGCTCCGTAATTTGGCAGTTATTGCGGTCGTGTGAGGAGTGAAAGAGCACAGACTGTCCAAAGTGACGCCTAAAATTTTAGGATTATTTACTGTCGGAATTTTTATGCCATCGACTGAAATATTCAGGTCCAGTCTGTACTCCTTCGTCCAATTTGTGAAGATGGTCGCTGTGGATTTAGTGCGAGAGAGTGTTAGGCTCCTTGCAGAGAAGAAGCGAGAAAGATCGGAGAGGTAGCTGTTTACTTTTGAACACATGCTATCGATTCCATTTCCCGATGTCAATATCGTACAGTCATCAGCGTACGAGGTCACTGAAATTCCCGCTGGTGGCTGGGGGACTTTCGAATCATAAAAATTAAACAGTAGTGGGGGAGAGGACACCGCCCTGCGATACCCCCTGTTTAATTGGTCAGACTGGGAGTCATGCTGTCTATGTGAGCTCCTTAGGGCCGTGGAGGTCCTATCTTGGCCACTCGACTGGAGTGGCAGCGCAGTGCGCGAACATGGTGCAGGTTAACCGAGGTGGCGTTTGGATGGAGCCTTCTAGCGCAAACGCAGCAGTAAAATTCCTCGGGGCCCGGGTTGGACTCGATGCCAGCACGGGTCAGGAGGATACGGAGCAACCCTGCTGCTAGGCGTTGCTCCAATGACGACATACTTAATCTAAAACTCACCGAGCCAAACAGGGTTAGATCGCCGAAATAACAGCCCTTGGCCGGATAAAATCCTGGTCAATTCCGGTACCGCAGAACCTGCTGTTGTAGGAATCGTGCATTGGCGGTTGTTGTTGTTGTTGTAGCGGCAGAATTCTACCGAGTTGACAGTCCTTGGCCGGAATAAATCCGGGTCCGTTCCGGTTACGTAGACCCGACTGTCGTGGGCATTGGCGGTCTTCGGCCGCGCTTCCAAAAAATAATCCTGGTCGATCGAACACCGGGGTGGTCGTTATCCCTTTCGCGTCCTATTTCTTTCGGATAAAAATAACACTGGCCAATCCAATACTATGGTTTATAAAGAGCAGAGAACGAACAAAATTATGGTTAATGTTTTTGGGGTTTAATCCTCTATTGTTAATTATTTTTCGTTTGCAAAAAAATTATATATATTCGTGACCTGGAGAATCTCCTTTATCCAACCATACCCTTTTAACCTGAAATCGTGGGATGGTATACTAAACCCAACCCAAAAATACTAAAACGAATTTTCTTCCCAAAACAAAAACATATTTTTAATTTTTAATTCCATCTACCGGATTAAAAAATAAAAGGAAACAAGCACCCAAAAATAAGTTTTTTTAGAGCTAACATTTTTTCGCGTTCAATCAAATTATAAAAAAACTATTTTAAATTTTTAATTTCAAACATTTTGGATTAAAAAATAAAAAAGTAATTTTTAATCGCGACATCGGGATTTTTTAAAAATTAAAAAATTCGCAACCCTGCTCATCACACGATTATGAATTATTCATCATTAAAATAAAAAAATACTTGTTTTTAACCGCATGCGCTCTATTTATTGGTTAAGTACATTAAAAACACACATTTTAAGATATGTTCTAAAAAAATTTGACCATTTTTCAGAAAAGCCACTGTTCTGAACAATTAGCATTAATTCATTGCAAAATGAATAACAACATGAAATTTCAATTTTAGTCCTAATTAACAGAAAGAAATTCCTTAGTTTTATTTTTTAAATAAATTTTAAAACAGTTCCCACAGAATTCAGGGTTGTGATAGAAAAAGTTGATTGTTGTGCTTTCGGGCGCTTTGGACGAGGTTGACCAGCTGCTGTCCACTCAGATGACGATGGTTTTGATTCCGAAGTGAAGTGATGGATCCAGGTTTCATTTATAGCAATCCGGCCAAACACTGCTCAAAATCATCAACACGTTGCTGTTTTTGGTCAACATTCAGCAAACGTGTCACCCACTTT